CCTGTTTGTTGTATTCATTTTGATAATTGATAAACTGTTTGCTCCTATTAACAAGTCTTCATACCACTGTTAATAGTTAAATACGCCTCTTTCATAATTGATCGTACTTAATTCCTTCTACACATAAACCCTTGTATTGTGATTATTTTATCGTGAGATTAGTAATTCTTATAGTTATACTTAGTTTTATTATTAGTTTTAGTATTATTTTATCCCGTTGTCTTTGTAAATTGTAGAAGGTTTACACAGATAACACCGTTTAATGGAGTCATTGACTTCATTTTCTTCTATTGAGTTGTTTGTGATTTCGGAAAAAAGAGAGGTAAGAGAAAGATCTTGATCAGAATTCCAAATATTGTTGTTTTCATCATCTTCATCGTTATAATTGTGATCCGTTATTGAGGTTTGTGGTAATGTGTAAGTTGGGCCATAACCTCTTTTATTAGATTCTTTATATTTTCGTGATAATTTATTGGTGATATAATGATTTAATGTTTTAATTCTGTTTTTATTTTTTGTATTTTTATTAAGTGAATAACTGTGGTCAGAATTTTGATTATTATTTGTTTTTTGTTTGTATATTAATTTACGCTTATAAAGCGAATTGGTTTTCAGGAAAAACCATTGTGTATTTATTTGTATTTTGTTGGATACGAAAAAACTCTTTGGGAGTTGTGCAAAGTTATAATATCGGTGAAGTGTTTTGACAGTTTCGTTAATTTTTTTTTTATCTGTTATTGGGAATATTATTGTTTGTCTTGTTTTGTTTGCTAAGTCAATAATTACTTTATCAATTGATGGGAGTTCATCTTGTGGAGTGTAATTGGTTAAAATCCAATCATTTGGAAGTCTGTCAAACTTATAATGCAATCTTGCTTATTTGACTGTTTGTAATATTTGAGTTCTGTTAATTGGTAAATTGGTGTTGGCTACTCTATTAGCTGTATTCATATCTGTAGGAAGAGGAGATCTGGTGTCTGCTTCTAAATTGATCTATTCTTTAGAAAGTTTATTAGTTGTAAATGTGTATTTTTTCTTCAGAGTTTCTGTTAAGAGTTGTATATCTTCTTTTCTGGTAATTGGCAGAGTGATATTATTTGGGAGGTCTGATATGTCTACGTGTTTAGGATGTTCTGGTAATTCAGTATGAATGAAGAAATATGAGTCTGGTAATTTTCTCTCGAATCTATATTCTTTTCTCAATGCATCTCGGATGTCATAGAACGAGATATTGTCTGTGACTGTTGTTCTGTTCCATGGAAGATATTTTCTAATGTCTTCTTTCACGTTGTTATAGTCTTGTGATAGTTCTGGTTTTTCCTTTATCTATACGTAGTTATCCAGAAGTTTAGTAGGTAAGGTATAAAATTTTCGTAACTCTTGTTTATATTCGTATATTTCTCTCATTTGTTCTTTGGTCTGTATTTATACCTACCACCCAAATTCAAAATCCAAATGCTGAAATCCCAAATGCCAAAATTCCAAATCTCAAATTCCAAATTATGATTAGTATTTTTTGTCAAAATCCCAAATCCCAAATTCCAAATACTAGTAATTTGGGATTTGGGCAACACGTATATTTGTATTGGCAGTTTTGTTTTATATAAGATTTCATCTCTTAGATCAATGAAGTTTTGTGGTAATGGTTCTTTCGGACAATAGTATTCGATTGGCAATAAGCCAAAGTCATACTGTTTGTACAATATTTGTAATATTTCCTTTAAGTATGTGTTGTCTCTGAGTAAAAAGTTTACTTTTGGAAGTTCTGGTATTGTTTCATTATGCAAGTTGGTAGGGTCTTCAGGTAAAGAATATTTGGCTAATTTGAATTTATAGAAGTGTTTTACACATTGTCTGGTGAATTGGGTATAATTAAATTCTGTTTTGTTAGGTCTTTTATATGGTGGTAGGATAAAGTTGATTGCGTATATTATAAGTTGAGCCATGTCTCTTCCTCCCTAATTTTTTGAGAAATCTATACTATGTAAATAGCACCACATAATCTTCATTCTCAAGTGATCTTGTAATTCGCTATGAAGTTGGGGAGAGAGAGTTTCATTGTTATTAATGTTATTTTTGTCTTTGATTTCTTTTTCTAATAGTATCAGCCATTCTTTTATGTGGTCTGGAGCATCTTCTAAGTTGTTTGGTGGTTTACAAAATATAGCTTTGTCTTTGTTATATTGCGAAAGAAAAACCCTTAGTGTTTCTTTTTCAAAGGGAACCACACTTCTCTCAGAGTTTGTTAAATAGTTTAACAATATTAAGGCATTTCTGGGTTTAGTCAAATATTGTGCATAATTGTTTATTGTGATTGGTGGTAAATTGTGAATAGAACTTTCTAGGTCATTTTTTGAATTTAGATTTTGTGTATTATTAATTATCATATCTGGAAATCTATGATTTGTTATTGGTATTGTATTTGTGTTGGTTGCATGTTTGTTTTGTGTTTCTTGCATATTAAATCAGTTTTGTGTTTCATAGTCACGTCACGTAACTGGTGTTCTTTGTTTGTCAGCTGAATTATTTGTCCACTGATCATTTTTAGGAGGTGAGAGAGTTATGCGTTTTTTTGGAGTTTTCACGAGAAGAATTAGAAGAAGTGTTTAGTGAGATACAGTTTGTATCTTCTAAAATAATCGTTTCTTCTATTGAATTAATGGCATTAATATATAGTTCTTGGTCTTCTTGGTTGAGTGTTATGTTATCCATACTATTCGTTGCTTGCTTTACTCTTTTTTGTTGTAAGTAAGAAGGAATAGTGTCAAAGGTTTGAGCTATAGCTGTAAATTTTCTTGTGTTGTAAGAGATATTAATACTATTAAAGGTAACTAGTACTGCGTATTCTGGGTTATCGATAATATTTTCTGTGAAGGTAGTCTGTTTTTGTTGTTTATAAGTTGTGAAAAGGAAAAAGGTAGGAAATTCTAGGACTCTTGGAAGTGTAGTGGTTTTTCTGAAAATGTCATGTTTCGTAACTTTGTTTGTTTTTTGATCTTTCAAAAAGAGGACTGCTAAAGTTTTTGATGTCGAAGTATTTCCTTCAGGAGGTTGAACTCCTAAAAAAATTTTTTCGTCTCTTGCGTCCATAAGATTTTTGAATTTTTCTAATTAATTTTTTGTTTTTGTCAGATGTCTTTAAGATTTCATTGGTATAAAATAATGTTTTATATGTAACAACGATTGATAATTTTTTTTAAACAGTAAATGATCAACAATAATTTCGATCATTTTTTAGTCGTGTCTAAGTAAAGTTCGAATTGTAACTAGAAAATATAAAATATGGTACTAATAAAAGTTGTATATTTAGTTTAGTTTTACAACGTTTTATAAGATAGTAGGCATTTCCAGTAGATAGTTACTGAAATCGAAAGAGATTTCGGTTACCAATTTAATTTAATATTTTTGGTAACTTTTATTTAAGACAAGATTTTAAAACGAGTAGACATCCAATTTGAATAAATGAGATATCATACGATAGTCCTTAATTCGGGGATTCTTTTAAAAAAAAGTTTATGCAATTTAAATTATTCATTGTGCCAGAATTCACCCTTGAAATTTTTAAAAAAATTTGATAAAAAACAGCTGTCCGGATACTTTTGGCAGGCCAGTGTATATTTTTATTATATATCAAAATATAAAAATGACTATGATTTTATGAATAAAGAATAGCTCTTACTCATATAAATTAACAATTATTATACATTGACTTTTTCGAAGATGGAGTTTATTTAACTCAAATATATTTATTACATTTACACTTTACAAAATAAGAGGAAAAACTCTCATACATCAAAAAGTACTCTGAAGAGATAGATAATACTAACCCTATATCTCCAATAAGTACAAAACAAATAATAATTATTATCTTGAACTGATATTGTAAGTAACTAATTTAAGTTGAAAAGGTAATGTGATCATTATAATAATGAATTTTTCAATAAATAGAGGGATTAAGAAAGCTCAGAGGATTAGTCTCACATTTTTGACATCTGCATATAAATTCATAATTATTTAAAATTTTAGTTTGCTGGTCTTGTTTGTCACCTGTTGAATCAATATAAGAAATAAAAATCTCTTGTCCTTTTTTTACATGTTGTAAGGTGATAATAGTAAAACGAAAGGAATTACAACCTATTCGTTTGTATTTTTGACGTAGTTCCATATGTTCTGAAATAAGATCTTTAGCAATATATCTTTCAGTTGCATTCAAATGTGTAATTAAAGGATCACAGCTGTGATTAAAAAGAGATGTCAATGGAAAAATACCAAGAGTATCTCGAGAATTCCCTTCTCTATTAAATACATTTGCTCCAATAATTGCCATCAATGTTATAAATATCCAAAAATCATATTGTATATCATATAAAGAAATTTCTAAAAGTTTTAAGATCTCTATATAGATTGTTGCGTATTCAGCATCCCAAGGAAAATGTCATTCACAGCAAAGTGTGCTTGCATGTTGACGTGAAAGAAACTTAATTTCTTCAATATCTAACAGGTTTATTTTCCGTTTCTTGGCCAAAGCAAAAAGTTTCAACACCAAAATAAAAGAATGATTCCAACCTGGGCGATCTCTCTGTGCAGAATGAATAATAGTATCAATATTCTTTCCGCAAAGCTGTTTACGATAAAGCTTCATTGCTAGTTTGTAACATTTTTTGTTACAAAAGAGCTCTTTACATTGATTATTGTGACAGTGATACTTGACACCACATCTTGGATGACCAGGAGTTTCAACAAGTTCAAGCGTACAATATTCGCATCTGTCAGAAAAGTGATTGTGCGCTGCAACAAATGGATCTTCTTCTAGAATATGTTCATGGAATAGAAAGTTTTGGGTAGCCTCGATTCCCAGATGCAATGTCATTTTTGATTCAAAACTATTTCAGGTGGAAGATTTCGTAGAACAACTTTTAACTTTTTATTATTGGCTTTATCAAGTTGATCCTGAAGTTCTTTTAGCACAGTAGCTGAAATGCGTTCACTCGGATGGTGATCCCAGGGATATTGACCACTGAATTCAAACCATCCAAAATCAATATATGTCAACATAATGACGCTACTAGCAAATTCACTTTTTTTAAATATTTCAGGGAATAACATCATATTTGTTTGATTTCCTGGTGGTGGTGGTAATACCTGAATTCGTATATCATCTATTTGTCTCAATGTTGATGCTAATTTCCGAAATTCATTCCGTTTTGTCTTGGTCATCTCGTCAAAGCTTTCTGGTAGTGCTTCTAATTTCTCATATTCTGAGGCAGAAAGCCCAGGATGGCCCAAGGCACGCAAAGCTTCAGCATAATAATATCATCCCTTGTAACTTATTTTCTGTAATTCGATACTGTCTTCACTTTCATCACATAAGAGTAAAACTCTCTTAGCATCCATAAGTGCAATTTCTGGATAACCTTCTTTAAGACATATTAAAGCACGACTACACCACAAATTTGGGTTCCTAGGTGTTTTGGCCAACTCACTGGTATATTGATTCCATTCGGAAACATACTGACCATCCCTAAGAGTAGTAATTCCTTCAAATTGGTGAAAAAATTTGTGTGCTCTGGGTACGTTTTTTGTAGTTTTCATGCAGAAAAAGAAAGAAGCTGTAATAAATAATTTAGAGTTTTAACGTAATGTATGTAGTTTTTCCGAAAGTCGTACAGAATAAATACATATTGATATTTGATGATGGTTACGAAATGAACCAATAACGATATTTTCCGAATAATTTATTATTTACGAGAGCCCACAAATATATTATCTTCCAAATTTAGAATATATTGAGTAAAAACACTTTTCACAAGAATTTTGTAACTCTGAATAATAATTGTATCATGTAGTGCGAATTTCTCATTCTCGATTTTTGTGCGTCGTCGTTATGAAGATATAGAGGAAGAAAAAAGTGTAAAGGTCTGAGTATGAATTTCGCGTAGACTAAAGTACACAAATTTTTTGTATATATGCGTAGACTGTATCTGCGGCACAAAATCTTTTTGTAAATTACACCAAGATCAGTACTTTGTATTTAAGCGGTATATATTCTTAAATGATACTTAAGAAAGAATTAAAATCAGGAATTTTATAGATTACTCATTTTTTACACCGATTTTTGTCCACTTCCATCTGCCCATCTGCTGAGCGAGTCTGCGCTATCATAGATTCCTTATATTTTTTCTTGCACTAGGTATGTTGTTAAACTAGTAAATCGATAAATATCAAAATAATAGAATGAACCTCGGGCAAAGGTATGAAATCTGAGGTCGGGGTTTGGTAGTTGTACTTACGTGGTACACTTGCCTCAATTTTTGGCAAAGTCAACTTTGTCGTAGTCGAAGAAGATAACAATTCTATTTATTTATTTTTTTTCAAAGATCGTTGCCTTAACCATCTATATCTATCACTGTATACTGTGTAATACTCAGCGCAATGGAATACAAGTTGACTAGCTGCCAGAGCGAGTTTGCTGTAGGGTATCTTTGTTGCGCTGCTAGTATTCTCTTGTAAATGTAACGACGAGTGTCAGACGGCCAGAGACTTTAAACTAATAATATTGTCAAAATTTTGTGATTAATTTCTTGTCTTCTTAGTGCCTATAGTAATCGCCATCGTAAAATGCTCAAGTGTTATTGTCTGTTGCCTTTGCATTTACCAGTGTCAAGGTGTTACGCGGCAGCAAAGAATTCTCGGTCCGGCAGTGCTCATGGTGAATCGGTGCGGAGTTGTTTTCTTGGTGAAACGAACGAATTTCAGGTAAGTTTCTTAACTTTTATAGAAAATACTCAATTTATAAGCGTAAGAAGAATTTTAATTAACCAAGATTTTACACGCTGAAAGGTTTTTTTTTTCTTAATTATAATATTGTTCATTTACAGAATTATTGTAGTTATTAATTTTTTTATATTTTCTAGTTTTGTTATTATGTAATTATTTCAAGATGGTTTTCGAGTAATTATTACATATAATAAAGAGTTTTCATTTAACAATAGCACATATATTATTTGTTTGTTTAAACAATAACACATATATCATTTGTTTTTTTGTTTTCTTATTCAAATTTCGCGGTAGCAAGAAAGAGCTTTACAGATATAATGATAAACTTGAAGACAGTAATCAATAATCAATATCAATTGTAAAGTTGCGATAAATCTTTAATTATTAACCAAAAAATTTATTAAAGAAAACTTGTACTTAATGTATAATCTACCGATATACTAATTTTATAATAATTAATTTTGAAAGCCTTCGGTTTTAGTATATATATATATATATATACGTGTGTGTATGTATGTACATAAAATAAAATAAAATAACAAATAAAATGTGTATGTAAATTTATTAAAATGGAATTTAGGTTTGTATATAAGGCTTAGAAAAAATTTGATAGTTTACAAAGTGAATTGATTTTTTTATATAAGAACTATTAAGAGATTTAGTAGTGAAAAAATGAAAAAACGAGAAAAACGGGAAATGTCGAATATATTAAATTAAATATGTACAAAACGAAATGCACAGGTTGTGAAAAAAAGAAAAACATACACACACGTACATAATTCGTTAAATACAATTTAATTATCGTGTGATACATTTTTTTTTTTTTTGAAAAAAAAAATATAAAGTTGTATGAATGCGAAGAGTAAAAAAAAAATAAAAAATAAAAATGGAAAAAAAAGGGGCAAATAACGAACAATGAAAAAGAGCAAAGTATATTATTCACTGAATACGCATATATAAATTATTTACAGTTACTAAATAATCCCAAGATAATCTTAAAAATGAATCGAAGTTGGAGGGAATACTAAAGATTATGAACATAATATCTAAAAAGAAATAAAGTTCCAATTTGTATATATAAATTACCCATTTAAACCGTAAAAAGATGTATATAATATAATGTCCATGTAAAACCCAGCATCACCATAATAATAATATATAAAATTTTGATAAAATATATAAAAATAAAAATAAAATGAAATAAAAAAAAAAAAAAAGAAAATGAAAGTTATTTTTTTTTAAAAAAAAAATAATAATAAATAAATACATAAATAACAATTAACGTAATGCGAAATAAATTGAATGACTAAATAACTGCTTTTGTACTGTGTGAAGTTCCATAGTTATCGTATAATCAATTTCTCTATTATGTAATTGTAAGTTGATGGAAGATTTTGATCTATTCACTAGATATAGACTTTATTATACTAGTTTCTGTTATTTCATTTACACCTGCCGTTCTATTTTTATTGAAGAAAATTTCAGGATTTGTGCAAGTTCCCAATGCTCTCCTCATAAGTGTCGTGAGATAAGATAAACCAAGTTGATAAGATGCATTCATCCAACCGAAACCTTCACGAGGTACGAATTTAAAATCGGTACCAACATTTCCATATTCAACTTGGAGTTGATGATTTAATGTTACTATATCATATTTTTCAGGAACAACTCCATTAAAATCTACAAAAGATTTTGTAATGGTATAACACCAACGATATGCTAATCGTCTTGCTTCTGTCATGAATCCATAATTTTCTAAACCTCTCCATGCCATTATTTGATGTGGTGCCCAACCGAAAGGATAATCCCATTGTCGATTTGGTCTATCAAGTGTAATAGTACCGCGAGATTCCTCAGTACCGCTCATAAGACCACCAAGAACTTCAAATTTAGGAAGAGAAATTTTTCTGTAAAAAATAAATAAAATGTTAAATATATATATATATATATATATATTTTAAACAATTGATCCAATAAAATAATATTGATTGATTGGACAAATACAAGACATACAAGACAACTCTCTATAATGATTACTTACACTAATTTTTCTGCTTGTTCATAACTTGCACATCCAGCCCAAAGTGCCCAAAAGGCAGTAGCAGATTCATATACTGACTGTTGACATGTAACAGTATTGTAATCATAATAAAGACATTTCTCTTCATTCCATAGGTACTTATCAATCCTTTCTTTTCGTAATGCAGCTCTTTCAAACCAAATTTCACTAGTTACTATGGTTCCATCATTTGAGACAAAATGATTATTAAAAATTTCCTGAATTATTTCACCAATATCAATTTCATATTTATAAAGTAAACTATTAAGATCAATGGTGGCGAGGTAAGCACAACGTTTTTCGAAACGATAAGTAGTATCATGACCTGATTCACGAACAGCTCGATCATGTAAAAAGTATTCATCCAATTGTGGTTCAAGAATTTCTTTATTTTGATATTTTGCAGAATATTCTTTAATAGATAAACCAAGTTGATCTGCAAATGGTAAAATTACATGATCGAAGTGACTTGCTTCAGTTTCTGGTGGAATACCTAGACCAGTAGGATAATAACGAGATAAACCTGTTACTGGATCATAACGAGGTTCTGACATCCAAACTGTATGATATTCTTTAATAGCCGCACAAATTACTTCGGCAAGCCATTTTTCATTTTCACCTTTGCCACCATTATTTTCATTGAGTGGTAATCTTTCATAAACTTTCATGGCCATATCAGTAAGGAAAGGAGGTTGAGATCGAGTAAGATAATAACTTCTATTGGCATTTAATATTTTTCCATAATGAGTAATTTCATATACAAAATTATCAACCATTCCTTTGGCTAAATCTAATCTTCCATCGACAACCAATCCCAATGTTTCAAAGTAAGAATCCCAACCATACATTTCATTAAATCGACCACCGGGTACAACGAAAGGAACACCTTTAAAAGTGCTATTTCCTTTATCATCAATATGTTTAGTCATTGCTAAAGTAAGAATACCCGGACGATCATTAATACTTTTTACATATTCAGGGGTTATATCTTTTGGGAGACTTTCAACCTGTAATTTTAAATGAGGTCTAGTAATAGCGACATTTTGATAATATTGAAAAATTTCATCTTCACCAAATGGAATATAAATTCGAGGGGAATGATCACCAGTTCTATTTTTAGGATCAGCAGAAATAACTTCTAATCCTTCAGCATCAATTTTTCTAGTTAAACCATCCCAAAAAAGATATTTTATCATACGAGATAAACGATCAACAGGATTTTCATTTAAACGAGCTTCATCCAAAACCACATGTTTTCTACCATATTCTTCAGCTAAAGCCAATTCTTGTAAAAGATTACTAAGCATATAAGTACCACGAATTTCAAATTTTCTGTAACCACCAGAATCAGCAGTACCAACAGTTAAAGTTTTTGGTCCAAGATCTTGAATTGTAATCTGACTATCACCATTTGTATCTTCTTGTTCTAATAAAATACGTTTTGTTTCTTTTACATCTATTATGAATTTACGTGGTTTATTTGCTTTTTCGTCTAAAAAAAAAAGAATTTAGATAAAAAAAAAAAAATTAATTAGTAAAGATTTAAATAAAGAATAGATAAGAGACAATTAACATATTAATAAGAAGTTTGTGCGTGCGTGCTTTAAAAAATCCCCTTCGCTAATTCTAGAGTGTGAAATGGTAAACGAACGATATGGACTTGCGGTAAAGTAATAAGGAATTGTAGTAGGAATAGAAGAGTTTCGAATGAATCGTTTATTTATCGTTTATTTGTGGGGGGATTGATGAATTGATGGTGATCGTATAAATGAAGGTTGAATGGGGTAATCGTTATCGATAATTTTTGTTCGAAGTAATTTTTTAAAGTTGCTTTTGATGTTGGTAGTTGGTGGCGGTAATAGTAGTTATTGGTTGTGCGTAGTAGTAATTCTCAAGGACCAAGAAGGATAGACACTGCTGATAGTCACCAATATGATTCATTTTTTTTTTTTTTATAAAAACCATTTCATTTCACTCCAAAACTTACACCCAAACTATTAAAACTATATATATGTGATATCACTTAAAAAAATAATTTACCATGTGAAGCTCGTCTCTTGCGACCTCTAGGGATAGATTCATTTTTCAATTGATGTGAACCCGTCTACATTTTGAAGCAAGCATTGAAAAGCAAGCATTGAAGCAATATTGAGAAGCAATATTGAGAAGTAATATTGAAGCAATATTGAGAAGTAATATTAAGAAGCAACATTGTCGAAGAAAAAGAAGCATCGAAAAATAAAAGTATAAATTAAAATTAGTATCATTACTATTTTTAGTACAAATTATAAAAAAAAAGTATGCATTAATGAGCATATTATTAATCAATATACATACAGCAAAACTTCTATATTGTCTAACGTTGCTACTATTAAAACTATGGTCTCCAGTACTATAATAAGTACGTGAATCAGCGAAAATATTTAAACTAGTCATTTTTTTTTTATTTTTATTTTTTTATTGAAGACTAGTTTATGAGTTTATGAAATATATGAACAAAGGAAACTAATATGATAAAATAACGGTATTTATAATATATATAGTGTTTTATGAGTAGCGAAAACGAAAATTTTATTATTTTTGTCTTGTCTGTCTTATACAGAAGGTTTATTTATACACAGAATTAAATGTATATTTTTTTTCTTCAAAAATTTGATTAATAGAAAGTACAAGGTAAAAAGTTTAAAAAAAAGTTTAAAAAAGTAAAAAAATAAAAAAAAAAAAGGTAAAAAAAAATTCTAGGGAGATGGTTGATTTATATATTGTAAAATAACATATATATCAAATGGTTGATTGGTAAATAAAATAATCAATGAATGATCACACAGTAAAAGTTATTTATGACAAAATATATAAAAAAAAAGGATTAGATTGGTTTATTGGGTTGAGTGTGTTCACATGCGAGGAGTTTAATTTACACCAATATAATATTTGTAATATAAGCACGTTTTTTTTTTAAAACGTAAGAAGGAATTTTTTTTTACCCATTTGATCGAAATTAGAAAACAAGAAATAGGATTTTTTTTTTTTGATTTTTTTCATAAAGATTTATAACTTAACGATTTTGATATTATCATAAATGAGAACTATTGCGAGAATTGCAGAAATTGCATCATGAAAAATTAAAGAATTTCAATTTTTTTTTTTTTTAATTTCGTGCCAGAATTATTTATACAAATTATTAATTGTTTTGGTCTTTGGAGGACCAACATTAATTTTTATTTTTATAATTAATAAAGGCATTTTCTAATAACAATTTTTTACATTAAATTTTCTCAAAGTTGGTAATAATAAAAAGAAAGAAAAATAAATTCTTCAGAATGAGAATCTTGAGAAAAAAATGAAATCATTATTATGAATTTTATTTTATTTTTTTTTTACTTCAGCTTAGGAAATTCGATCTATTTGTACTTTTTTTTTCTTTACGTAATTTATATACAATAAGTAGTGCCACTTTAAATATTGCACAAGAGATATAGCCGCCAAATAAATATTTAAAATTTAAGAAATAAATTCAAAAAAAAGGGCGCCAGAAATACAACATAAGAGCGAGAAAAATTTTAATGTAATAATTGAATCTTTCTTTTTTTGGAATAAGATAAAAAAATTTAGAAATAAAAAATTATTTATTAAATAAAACATTGGTAGGAGGTGTAACACCATGAGTAGTTCTTCGGATCAAACATAATAGTAATAGCCGAGAAAACGAGAAATATATTTTTCAGTTTTAAATATTTTTAGTTTCATTTATTTTTTTTCATTTACCCATTTGGGATCAAATCCCTTGGATGCTTGGATGATGATGATGATGATGTTCGATGACTAACATTGACATTCTCGTAAACGTTACACGAATTTATGATATTCAATGTTTATGATGCTCTTCATTATTAATAATTTCTTGTTTCTTACATTCCTTGTTACATTCTTTCTTTGGTCCTTTTATGGTATAGTGTTGAACTATTATTTAATAATAAATAAACAACGATAACTAATAAGAATATAATAAAATTAATAATAAAAAAATCATTAATACAGTAAATGAGTTTTTTTTTTTTTTCATATATATAAAATAAAATATAGGAAATGATTTATTTGACAATAGATAATCAAGCTAAATATTTTTTTTTATTTATATCATCTGTTATTGCTGTTTGTTTATTAAAAAGAAAAAAATTTCGGCAGTTGACATCCACGTGTAACGAGAATATAATCAAAAAAATAAATTATTTACAAAATAAAAATAAAATATTTACAAAATAAAAATAAAATATTTACAAAATAAATGAAATTTATTTAAAGTATCAAGTTTATTCGGTAAAATAAATTAAATCTAAACATGAATTATTAAATGAACTTTTTTTATATACCATACAAATTTCATAAAAAAAAAAGTAATTCTTTTTTTGTAAATAGATCTTCTAAATATGTATAATTATGTATAATCTAATCTGATATTTCAATTGATGTTGACACATATAGGATATGTCAGAATTGTTCAAAAAATGATATTAATAATGCAAAAGAGTTATAAAAAGAGAATTCATTCTAGTATTTCGTTAATAATGATGACGTTTTTTGCACATTTATTACCAAATTAATTTCGTATTAATTAATTTTATTATCCCATTGTATTTTTAATACAATACTTGTTTTTTTTAATAAGTACTTAATTCATTGTTGTTTTTATTATTTGTCTTACCAAACATACTTAAAAATTTATTTTTTTTTGAAATTTAAAATCGTTTACTTCCTTCTTCCTTCCATTCCTCGAATTTAATCGAATTTAATCGAATTTAATCGAATTTAATCGAATTTATATTTGTTTTACATGTATTCGAAATTACGTTATTTTAACATATAAACAAACGTAGAAACATGCAAACATGTACCACACACATTTCCTCGAATTATTATTATTATTTTAAAAATGTTCGTTGTCGATACTCTAAGTAAATAGTGAATTATGTAATACTTAAGTAATATCTTAAGCTTAAAGATTTACGTATTTAAAATGTTCAATGTTAAACTAAATATCGTAATTATTAATAAAGCTAAATAAATACAATAAATGTTTAATTTTTCTAAATTAGAGAAAAGTTTTTCTTTTGTATTAATTAAAATCATTTTAATTATTAAAGAGTGAGAAGAATAAATACGCCCTTTACGAAGCACGATACCTAACAATGAAATGACCCCTGTGGTGTGACTTCTTTTTGGAATGTTGCATACTCAACTCTTCTTCACTGTTAAATCTTATTCACAAAATGATATACAAACAATTCAGTACAAGAAATAAGGTTTTAATCGAAATATTAAATTATCAAAATTATGTTGTTAAAATTGAACTTGAGGCTTAGAATTCAAAAAATAGAGTTTAGACAGGTAACCTTAACCACGAGTATTTGTAACTACTTAACTTTGAGTTTAATTTGGTTAAATCTTATTGACACAACGGTGCTGTTGCTTGAATTCAATCCTAATTATATTATATAATGAAATTGTATTGATCAATTTTTACAGTTACAGCATGTTGTTACCAGCATATTCTCTGTTACACCTTTATAATAACTTTTTAGGAGTTTATAGTGCTGTGTTTTAAGACCCATTTTTAGTTTGGTTAATTGTTCCATTTTAATATATATGTATTCTTATTGATACTTTCATTATCTTATATCTTTAGTGCTTCTTAATCTTTTATAATTTAATATTTGTCAAGGTAGCCGTGTCTCTTTTGATTTACGTTTTTATACCTTATTAATTAGTGCGCTCTTTGTCAGTAAACTTTATGATTCTTTTAAAGAATTTAAAGTGCCATCTTCAGGCATACTATGATATATATATTTTGTGCCTCAGATCGAGCTGAGGTATCTCAGCTGTCACCAGAATTATAACTACGGCCTATGTAGTTCTTTTTAACTTTGGCCAGTTTTAATCTGAGGCAAGCATCACAACATATATATATGCTTCTTAAATATAATAATGTTCACTGTATGCTTCTGTGACTTACACTTTTACTATCTCGTCTTAGTAAAGTAATGATGTCTTAAGATAATCAAGTATTCAATATATTTTCGATATACGATTTCGACATACATATACGTTATTACTTTCAGTTTATAATATTCCTACTTAATTTAAGTAAATTATAGTTCAATTGATCAGCATGTAGATTAAGCTATTTATAAAATTGATTCACATATAAGAAATATTATTTATTAAAACCTATTATTATTTATTAATTCTATATTATTCTATTATTATAACTTATAATTTATAAGTGTTGGTTGGCAAATGACCTTTTAAATGACCTTATCACATGTAGGTTCTTCATATACAAAATGACCTAAGTCATTTGAAAAAATATCAAATGACCTTGAAATTTTAAATCGGTACCCATAAAGTAACATAGGTACCCTATTACTTATCAGGTAGGTGTCGAGGGACAGTGCTTTTTATTATTAAACCTAATTTAAACATATATTTATAAGCTTTATTAAGAGGTGGACGCGGACATGTGATACAACACTGGATGAGCACGTTACATCTATCAGGCACCTGGCTTATAATCTTTTTTGACCTCTGTACTTGTGTATAATTTTAAGACAAAGTTTATAAACTTTAGATAAGGATATTTTAACGATCCGTAATTATATTTAAGTAATTTTTGTTATATTAAACTTATCTAATCAAAATAATCAAATAAATCATTTTGGTAAAAAACCATTCTGATTTTTTTCTTTACAAAAACAAAATGGATTAATTATTTATTGTTTTATGTTCAGAATATCTACAGGTCAAAAATATCATAAACAAGGTACTTGATGGTTTATGATATTTCATTCTGTGACCCATCAACTTATTATCAACTTTAAACTCATGTGTTAAGATAAATTACAATTTGAAAAATTTTCAAATTAAATCAAACCATCAATTTAAATCTTCAAGTTAAACCATGTCAAATAATCAAATTGTTCTTTCCTATTTACAAATATATTCCTTTCTATACTTGCTAAAAAAAAAAATTAACTGTTTTTTGTCATTCAACCCGTGTACCTTCGTTAATAGTATTTTGCACCCAATATTTTAATATCTTAGATTATGATGTCTGTTCATTTGAGTACTTTAATTAATGAATGAATTAACCTCCTTGATGATAACACTATCATCATCTCACGCTAAAGCTGAGCTTTAAAAATATTTACCAAAAGTTTGCAAAGCCATTATTAAAACAGACAGTCAAGTATGCATACAGTAGTTAACATTACATCTCAAAAAAATGGTTTACATAATTATTTTATGATCGTCATGATATCAAATTTCACTCGGTATAGTTCTTCTGGATACTTTCCATAAAACAGAATTGCAAATGTTCTTTTTTCATTTCAAAAACCTGTTCACATGATGAACTTCCAACCTTAAATAAATCTTTATAAAAAGAATTACCTGTACTCAATTGACTCAACCATTTAGAATACTGAAAAAAAATTCTTTTTCATCCCTTGCCTTCAGTAAAAAGAATATATGAAATAACTCGGTTCAAAATTCTTATACAACTATTAGTTTCACTTGTGGGATCATTTCTATATCCATTACAAATCAGTTATCACAACTTTTTACAAAAAAGAAAGAGAATGGTCCTCTATTGATGTAAAAAATTCATCAAGCTTTAGAAATCCAAAGGCATCTTCAACACAAGTCGAATGAAGAAAAATAGGTCATACGATTACCTGCGCATTCTATATTCCCATTATACAATTAATTAATTAATTAATAAAGTACATTTCAATTATTTCAATTCTTTATTAGCCGAAATATTAATTTTAATCAAAATTTTCTGTATATACATTTTAATAGTATAAAATATTACTAATTACTAATTTTATTGATGATGATAAAAATAGTGTTCAATGAATGAGAAAAGAAATAAAAAAAAAAAAAAGGAAATCAACAATGATATACGTTATGTAATATTTGTCCAAAGTTTAATGTAATGTACGTGTACTAATAAATATATATATTTTTTTACCATGCCATGAAATAAATTCTCTATAAAAACTTCAAATAATTTTTTTTTTTTTTTTTTTTCACGGAAAAGTCGGTACAACCAAGAAATAAATTCTCACAAATAATTTTTTTTTCACGGAAAAGTCAGTACCAACCAAGAAAGTAATTAATTAATTCATTTAAATGTTAATAATAATAATTAGATTAATTAGATTATTAATTAAATTAATTAAAAAAATCTAGGAAAAAAAAATGATCTTCAAATCAAAATATCCTGATATTGATATTCCAACCACAGGAATATATCAATTTATTACAAGTAATCCTAACAAAGTACCTGATGATAAAGTTATATTTGTTGATGGAATTACGGATAAAAAACTTACTTTCGGTGAAATAAAAAGAAATACCAAAAAATTTGCGGCCGGATTAATTGATAAATTAAACTTTAAACGAGGTGAAGTTTTAGCTCTTATCTCACCTAATGAGGTAAATAAATTATTATTAACAATATAATATCGATTCAATTCATTTTAATATCGATTAAATATCAAGTTATTATTATTATTATTATGATTATTTTAATTATTATTAATTATTTTTATTTTTTTAAAGGTTGATTTTCCTGTTGTACTCTTTGGTACAATTGCAGCTGGTAAATATAGAAATATGGAAATATTTTATTTATTTAATTTAAAATATAATAATAATATTTTTATAATTTTAAATAATAATAGTTTTACAATATTATTAATAATAATTATTATTTATTATTTCCAATATTAATAGGAGGAATAGTAACTCTGGTTAATCCATTATTCACAGTAAATGAATTTGAATATCAATTTTCAGATTCCAATTCATCAATTATAATAGTTCATCCATTTTGTCTTTCGGCAGTTAAAGAAGCAGCCAAAAATCTGAAAATTCCTCAATCACGTATATTATTATTTGGTGATAAGGAAATTGATGGATTTCAACCTTTTAATACTTCATTAATTTCAAATAATGAAAAAGAAGAATTTAAACCAATTGAATATACTTTTGAAGAAGCCAAATCTACTACAGCTTATTTATGTTATAGTTCCGGTACAACGGGTAAACAAAAAGGAGTCGAAACAACTCATACTAATATATTATCTAATATGGCGCAACTTCTTAATTTTGAAACTATTGTGGATATTAATTCGAAACTTATGGGAGTTTTACCATTCTTTCATATCTATGGATTATGTATTCTTGTACATTATGTACTATATTTGGTATTTTATTATTATTATTATTATTATTATTATTTTATTAATATTTATTATTATTATTAATATTTATTTATTATTATTATATTATTAATTGATTTATTAATTCTAATTATATAAATTAACTAATTTTAGGGATCATCTACAGTAATACTTCCAAAATTTGATTTATCAACATTTTGTCGTTTAATTCAAGATCATAAAATCAATTATGCTCATATCGTTCCTCCAATAGTATTATTATTGGTTAAAAGTCCAATTGTAAAAGATTATGATTTATCAAGTTTACAAATGGTGGTCAGTGCTGCTGCTCCTTTAAGTAAAGAATTATGTAAAAAATTTAATGAATCTACTAAAGTTTCTATTAAACAAGGATATGGTAAATATTATTATTATTATTATATTATTATTATTATTATTATTATATTATTATAAATATTTATTATATTATTTATTTATATTATTTATTATATTATTTATTATATTATTTATTATATTTTATATTAATATATTTATTATATTTTATTATATTATTGTTAGGCCTTACGGAAACATCACCTATTATAACTATAGGAAATGACAATACTGTAGTTCACGGTAAGTTTATTAAATTAATTATTCATTAATTATTATTATTCATTAATTAATTATTATTCAATAATTAATTATTATTCAATAATTAATTATTATTCATTAATTGATTAATTTATTTTTGTTTTAGGTTCGGTAGGAGAATTGGTTCCCAATATGGAAGCTAAATTGATATCACCTGATGGGAAAGGTAACTATTTTTTTAATCAATTTAATTTAATTTATTTTAATTTAATTTTTTATATAAATTTTGTTGTAATAATAATAATAATAATAGAATTAGGATATAATGAACCTGGAGAATTATACGTTCGAGGACCGAATGTTATGAAAGGTTATCTTAATAATGAAGAAAGGACAAAAGCTTCATTTGATAAAGATGGATTTTATCTCACAGGTGATGTGGTGATTGTTGATGAACAAGAAAACTATTTTATCGTCGATCGCGCTAAAGAATTAATTAAATATAAGGGATTCCAAGTAGCTCCGGCAGAACTTGAAGCTATTCTTCTTAATCATCCTGCTATATCGGACGCTGCAGTGATAGGAGTAGAATTTGAAGAAAAAACTACTGAATATCCGGTAGCCTATGTTACACTTCAAGAGGGTTACAAAAAAACTCCACAATTAGCAACCGAAATACAAGAATATGTAGGAGAAAGAGTTGCTCCTCATAAAAGAATAAGAGGCGGTGTCCATTTTATTGATAAAGTACCTAAAAGTGCTTCGGGAAAGATTTTAAGAAAGATTTTAAGAGAAAATGCTAAAATTCAATTTTCCAAACCCCAATATCAAAATCTTAAGTGAAATCAATCTTTTTTTTTTTTTGGTTTATTATTATTGATTAATTAATTAATTAATTAATAATTACTGAATATTTTCATATCACATTATTTTTATTATTTTTACTTATCATGTTATCATGTGAAATGTGAAGTAGATTACGTTATTTGTGTCGTTATTTTATCGTCATATAAACGATATTTATTTAAAATGTATAAATTTTAATAATTACTTCAATTATTATTTTTATAAACTTTTTATAAAAACAAAAATAAAATAAAAAATGTTGAAAGGAAGAATTCAAACATTAGAAATATTGATTTTTATATTTATAGTTGGTTGTTTAAGTATTTCCCTTGTATCAAGGGATAAAATTTGGTTAAAATTTAATATTGTAACATTTGGTAATTCGTTAACAGATAATGGAAATTATTGGGAATTAACTAATAAAACGATACCATCCCAAGAATTTTATTTTCAAGGTGATAAATTTTTTTTTTTTTAAATAGAATAAATGTAAAAAAAAATGAAATGAAATGAAATGTAAAAATTTAAATTAAATAAAATATTATTATAATTCTTTTTTTAGGAAGACAAACTAATGGTCGTGTTTGGGTGGAATATTTGGCATCTTCATTACATGCGAATTTAACCGATCTTGCTTATCAAGGAGCTGTAACTGATATTGATATCTATAAAAATAGTACTACTGATAATAACACTGTCTCCTATAACAATTCTGTTCCTTCTGTTGCAGAACAAGGTTATTTTTTTTTTTTGATTTTTTTTTTTTATGAATTTTTATGACAATTATTTTTATTGTTTTTAGTGAAAAGTTTTTTTCCAAATGTATCACATTATCCTCCTCATACGTTATATATTTTTTGGACTGGAAGCAATGATTACGCGGTAAACTTGACTTTTTAATTCTGAATTCATCTTATTATATTTATTTATTTATTTATTTATTTATTTATTTTATTTATTTTATTTATTTATTTATTTTATTTTATTTTATTTATTTATTTATTTATTTTATTTATTTTATTTTATTTTATTCATTTTCCAGAATATTTTCAATTACAATCTCAACATAACACATACAGAAATCATAAATTCTCTTCTCAATTCTATTTCTCTTCTTTCATCCACAAGAACTCGCAAATTTTTAATATTAAATCTTCCTCCCCTTCATCGAACACCTCATTACAACAACAATGAAACTTTTTCTTCCGAAAATCTAACCCATTTACAAAATTTATTAGAAAATTATAATATTATGTTAAATAAAACCATATCAAATTTCATTCAATCAAATAAACATATTTTTATTAAAGTATTTGATACTTGGGGACCTTTAGAAAGAATTATTAATAATCCTCAAGTTTATGGATTAAAAGATGTTGAAAATACTTGTTTAAATATTAGTTACGTAAGAGAAAATGAAGAAAATGAAGTAAAACGAGGAAGTAATTCTCTCAATTTGAGGAATAACATTGTCGAATATAACAAAAATGGAAATATCGAAAATTACAATGATAATCATGATAATCATAATAATGCCATTAAACGGCGGTACAATAGAAACACCAAATATGATAACAATAACAAAACCAACAATGATGATAATAATAATAACAATGATGATGAAACAATCTTCAATCCTTCAAATTCTTCTTCACAAATATTTTGTGAAAATCCTGACGAATATTTATGGTGGGATGATGTACATCCAACCAAAAAAGTTCACAAATTATTAGCATCAGAAGTAGAATCATTTCTTAGATCACCTGAAGGAAATTGGTTGTATTTGGTAAATTGAAATAATAATAATAAAAATCATAATAATTAATAATAATAATATTGGGGGATAATAATAAATAATAAAAATAATAAATAATTATTTGGGGGGTAGTTTTTATTTACATAAAAAAAAAACCAAAATTATATCGTCTTTCTATTTTTGAATAAAACAATAATCTAAAAAAAAAACAAAATGACATCAGATTCATCTACAGGTGCAGTATATAAAAATGGATAAATAAATAAATAAACAAACATATTTAACATATGCATATTGTATAATATGTATAATATGTATAATATGTAATAATATAAACAATTATGTAGCAAAACGTATGACAATCTTATTAAGGTTACAGATCATGTGAGGAAATTTAATATAAATAGTCAAGATCTTTTTTTATTTTTTCTCTGTACACGAACACTTCTTTGGTACGTACTTTTCGTATTTTTCGTATCTTCATTATTACAATTATTTTTATTATCGCGTTTTATTATTATTATCACCATCATATCATTCATTATTATTATTTTTTTTAATTAAAATCTTTTATTCATTCGCTTGTTGTTATTCCCTTTTTCCTTATTTAGTTTATAATTTTTGAGGTGCGACTATAATAATTTCCTTTGAGAAAAAACGTTTGTGCCTACTAGACCGAATTATAGAAAGGAGATCTAAAAAAAAAGGAGAGAGTTGTTATAAAGAGAGTTGAGAAGTCAAAGTCAATACTTATTGATTTACAATTTCTTATTTCTCGACACGAACACTTGACTATAAAATAAATATAGTAATAATAATAGTAATAGTAATGGCTTCAACACTTGCACCCGAATTATTTCGTCTTATCCTAAAAGACTTTGAATACAACTCAAAAGCTTTATTCTCATTTTCTTTGGTATCAAGACATTGGTGTCGGAATGTTATGCCTTTTTTATGGAAACGACCTTTTAATATTTCAAATCCTAATCGTCATTACATCATTATGAAAACTTTTTTAAAATTTTTACCTGAACAATTTAGAAATGAATTAATTCTTGAGGACGGAGATGAGAATAAGGATGTGGATAAGGATTTAAATGTGAATAAGGATTTAAATGAGGATAAAGACAACAAAAAAAAGAATTTAAATGAAGCTCCTTTATTCGATTATTTATCATTTTTGCAAGAAATTCGAACAGATATTTTATATAATTTAGTTCGAGATTTTGAATTAAAGTGTTTGTGTCACCAACAACAGCAACAACAACAACAACATAATAATAATAATAATAATAATAACCACCTTCACCAACAAAAAAAACAATTAACTTCAACAACATCTTTTTATTCATCTTCTTCATATTACGATGATGATCAAAAAGAGAATTTAGAAAATTTAGTTTACGGTCATCAGAATATTTCTTCTTTTGATAATAATGATAATAATAATAGTAATAATAATAATGAATTTTATGATGATTATTATTGGGATTATTATTTCCAAGATGGTCAAAATGTTATTATTGGTGATGATAATGATGAGGATGATTATTATGATTATGATGATAGTTCAAATGATAATTCTGAAGAATATTATAATGATGAAAGATTATCTTTGACTCCTCAATATCAAGATTATCAAGATTATCAAGATTATCAAGTTTATGAAGATGATAATAATAATAATGAAAATAATGAAAATAATGAAAATAATTTAGAAACCACTCAAATTGAAAATGAAGATAATTATGATGAACATTATTATTTAGTTAATGAAATAATTCATGATCACGAATCTCAAGTTATAAATCTCGAAAGAAACAATTCTAAAATTAAACAAGGTGAACAACAAGATGAAAATTATGAGAATTGCATTCAAGTTTGTACTTCTCGCCATCTCGATAGTGCTAGTAATAGTAATACCATTAATACCATATATTATCAACGTAGAATTTTAAATGTCATCTATGAACTTTTCAAATATCTTTTTGGAGTGAGATCTAATATTTCACGTTTAATCTTGATGACTCCAAAATATGTCTTATATCCTGCGATTTATACTGTAACTCCACCAGAAATTTCTTATGGAATCTCTAAAATCAAAGAACTTGAGGTTTATGGAAAATTCGCTATCGAGGATCTTCTTTTGGGTGATAGCGTGATCAAATATTGTAAAGATATTGAAAAGCTTACTATTAAATTTTCTCCGGTGTTAGAAGATCATTTAACATTAAGTAACTTGATTGAGGCACAACGAAATTTAAAACATTTATTCATATTTTGTCCAAATTCTCCTTTCTTTGAAGTTCCATCCTTAAAAATATCCTCACAAAGTAAATCCCTACGTTATGTATCATTACATAGGTGTTGCTTTAGAAATTCATTTCCATTGAAAGAATTATCATCTTGTTCTAAATTAGATACTTTCATGTTATTCAATTGTTTCTTTAAAGCGGATGAGACTTCAACTTCAAATATTACTTTCAAAACACCAATTAGTACATTAATTTTAGATGATTCACCTATGCCGGAAAATTATTTAACAAATATTATCTTGGGAGCCAATTCTCATCTTCTTCATTTAACACTTCGAATTAATACTCACTGTTATCCTGATATTTGGAAAATTATTAGTATGAATTGTCCTAATCTTGTAACTTGCGTTTTACGTATTTCTTCAGAAAATATGATAAAATGTAATCAGATCTTGGAAAATTGTAAAGTCTTGGAAAAATTTACCATTATTCCATATTTCGTACCAAAGAGAGGTCAATTAGGTGAATCGGATTTCACTGAATATGATATGAAAATAGGAGAAATTTTACGTAATTTGGGATCTTTTATTCCTTCAACATTAACTGATCTTATAATTGCGGATTTACGCGTTCAACCGTTATCTCAGCATCATGGTGATTGTTTCATTTTCACCAATAATGATGTTTTACAATTTTTAAAGAATTGCAAAGCAACTTTAAGACATTTGGTATTGGATTGTTTAGAAGATCATTATTTAGAAGTACAGAAATATATTCAAAAAATTGTTGAAGATAGATCACATTGGTTTATAGTTGATGAAGGAATTAATTATGTGAGACTTCAAGTGGTTATTCAGTGAAATTGAAACTCTTTTTTTTTTTTTTTGAAAAATTAGATTTTTTTTGTTTTGGTTTGTTTTTTTTTTTTGCGGGAATATGGAGAAAATAACTAAAAATAATAGAATAATATTCTTTGATAATCTTTTGTAATAAATAATCTTTTATAATATCAAAAAAAAAATTGTATAATAATTACTATATAGACAAATCTTTTTTTTTTTAGTTAGTTAAATTTAGATCTTGGATAATATAATATGTAAATAATAATAATGTAAAAAAAAAATTAGAAAAAGATGTAAATAAAAGAGAAAAAAAAATAATTTCCAATTTCCATTCATTAAAAAGAATTACTTTTAATATTTCAATCCAAACATGCAATATTTAGTAAGATAGTTATCATTTAATATATAGGTAATTTGAACCACTTCTCAAATGAAACAATTTTTAGATTTTATACTTTCTTACATTTTCAGGAATAAATTTTATTAAACTAATTTTCTAACCAATTTCCAAAGTTCAAATAATTTCTTTAGAGATTAAAATGAAGTGAAATCTCTTGTAAAATGATTTGCTTTTATAGCCAATGAAAAATATTTCGTGACATTTTGTGTAACGATATATATGCAAGAAATAGTTACACAGATGGTTAATTACTTTATTTGGTAATATAGATAATGGTACAAAAGGGCACAATCGGTAAGTTATTACGAAACTAGGTTAAAATAGGAAAAAGAACAAACACAATAAGTAAAAATATAAACTTTGTTCTTTTTTTCAAGAAAAAAAAATTTGCGTTTTTACATTGCAATTACAATAGAAAGGATATTCGATACATAACAATTGATTTAATATCGATTTTAATATTGATTTAATATTGATTTAATATTGATTTATTTTGATAATAAAAATAGTTATATTAACCTTTTTAATACCATTCAAGCGCTTTTCCTTCCTCCTTTTTTATTTATTATATTACATTAAATTATTTTCAGAATAATAATAATAATTCATTGGTTCATTATTTTATAATAAAAAATAATAAAGAACTAATAACTAATCAATAAAAATTTGGAGGGGGGATTCCTTTTATACATTTATTAATTTTATCTTTAAAATCTTTTGTGTTACCGTTTTTTTTCAAAAATGACGATTTGAAATGTGATAAATATTTATTTTGCCAAATTTGTGTAACATGATACAAAATAAATAATACGATAAAGTAAAACGCATAAAAAAAGATTTTTTAACTTTCATCTTTTTTAAACTCTCCTCCATCTCTCTATTAAAAAAAAAAAAAAAAAAGTGTAGTCTTTTATTCAAATAATATCTTTTTTATAATAGAAAGTTATTCTAGTAAAGATACTTATTACCAGTAACGAGGTAATAGCTGTTCTAGGTTTTTATATGCATATATATATATATATAAACCTCCCCCCTTACGTATTTTCATATAGGCATTGCGTGTGTGTTTATCAAAAATCAAAAAATTTTTTTTTTTTTTTTTTTTGTAAATCCTTGAAATTAATTAAAAATATTTAAAAATTCAAATACGGGTACCCATTTTTTTTATAGATTTATTATTATTATAATTCAGATTTTTGAACCATGACTAAAAAGAAGAAGAGTATTAGTAGTGTCGAAGTATGGGAAGCGATCGCTATTTTAGAAGAAAAATTTAACGAAGAAAAAAATTGCCTGTATTATCTAGTACAGTGGGCAGGCAAAGATGAATTTGGGAATGACTGGGAACCAACTTGGGTAAAAAATTAATCAACTGTTTATTTATTTATTTATTATTATTTTTTATTTTTAAATTTAAATTGAATTATTATACATATATATATATATATAGATAAATTACTTTATCTTTTTCATATTATAGGAACCTGAGAGTAATTGTGGTTCTGCTTTAATTGAAGAATGGAATGAAAGAAAGGCTGGGGTTAATGAATCAAAAAAAGGGTTTCAAAACTTAAATGAAAAAGAACAACAAAAAGAAAATGGAAATATTAATCGAAAAATCAAGAATGAATCGCAAAAATCGAGAGCTGACCTCACATCACAATGTAATCTAGGTCCTTCAAATAAAAATGAAAGTCGAAAAAGATCGATGACTAAAAGTGCATCAAATGAAAATTTGAAAGAAAAGCGACAAAAAGTGGATCCTCTCTCTAGTAAAGGAAAGGCCAAGTCGAAACTTTCGGAATCTATCGAAATCGAGCCTGGAGAATCTAATAAAAGAAAAAATAATAAAAAAGCTGTCACAAATAATAATAATAAAAAAAATATTGTTATTAATAATAATTCAGTCAGTTACAACGCTATAGAATCTTCATCATCATTAAATATCAAAAAATCACAGTCGAGTCTTGGTAAAAGGCCTGCTCTTCCTATAATGAGAGTCGTTACTCTTGTTAAATCTATTCCATGTGATGGAAATAATCAAAAAAATGGAAAAAAGATTAAGAAGTCTGGTGATGTTGGGGATACATCTTTGGAAAATATGTCTAAAAAAAATATGACTAAAGGACCAATGACGGATATTCAAAATTCGGCTAAAATAAATAGTAATATTCCTAATCTATTACTTAATGTACATAATTCACCTATTGTACCTAATGTTCATCAAAAACTTTGTAAATTGTCACTTCCTTCGCGATCCGGGCGAGTATTTATTTCCAAAAAGGCACATACTAAACGTAAGATTAAAAAGCGAATTAAGGCTGTTTTAACGCCTCCCAGTACTGATTTAGAAGTCTCAAATAAAAGAGTACGTTACGATGAATCATATCTTAGTGAAGAAGAAGAAACTATTATTTCAGGACAAGTAATTACTGATAATCCAATTCGACCACCTATAACAAATAATAATGATAATGTTATAATAACAAGACCTTTACAAAGTTCCATACCCTCCAATACTTCGATTACTTTAAGTAATACTTCATCGAATATAAAATCAACACATCATACATCACATATAAATAATAAGACTGATTCTAAGATACCTTCACAAACTCAAAAATCACAATATAATCCTCCCCCTCTTCTTTTTCCTCCTTCAAATAACAAAACAAACACCTTGTTGAGGCTTCCTCACGTGATTAAACCAAAACCTACTCCACAGATTATTGCACAACAAATAAATATGAGTGATGAAAGGTTTAATATTAAATTTCAATTTTTCTTACTAAATTAAACGATTTCTAAAAATGATTCTTTACTTAATTAAAAATCTAACCTTTTCAGTAGATTTGGTGCTACCAATAAGAAGCCCACTTTTTTACCGAACAACATAAACTACAATAATGAATTGACATTTTCGAATGTCCGTCCTTTCCAAAACTCTCAAAATTCTTCAAATTCTAATACAATAGTTAATGTCGCAAATGGAGATGTTAATTCTAAATTGAAAAATAGATTGATACCGAATTCCGAATCAATATTAGGATACATTCCTCCTGAGACAGAATTTCATGGAATAAAATATATAACATCTCGTAACACGAAAGTTGTGCCTCCAGAAAATAAAGAATATAAACAGGATAAATCTCAAAATGTGTGCATTGCGAACAATTTGAATAATATGAATGTTTCGAACAACTTAACACCAAAACCAGTATGTGATAAATTATTTCTTTTGCCAAGATTTCCGTTTAATTACTTAATTAGAAAAAATGGTTTTATATCATTTTTTTTTAATTAAATTCATATATTAATTTTTTGTTTACATTTTTTTTTTTAAAAAAAAAAAAAAAAAAAATGACTGATAACGGAATCAAAAAATTTTATTAAATTAAATTTTTTTTTTTTTAATCAAAAAAATTTTTTTTTCAATTTTAAGTTCCAGTTCTCGTCATCAAATGTACAAAAAATGTCTGAAGAAGTCGATAAGCTCCAAAATGAAGTTTCAAGGATTTCTGGGTTTCCTACTGATGAAAAGGTAAATAAGCGCGAAGTAGTAAAAAATGCAAAAAGACAATTAACCAAAATACAGACCGAATTGGAAAAATCCAAGGGAGAAAAGAATACACGGTCAAGTAATCAAGAAGAGAATAAGAAACCATTAAATGATACTCGGCTTGAAATTAATATGTCAAACAATGATGCCAAAGAATTAACTTCATTACGTAAAACTATTCTCGAAAAAAGTGGTCGTATAGAAGAAATAAGTAATAAATTTGAAAAATGTAGGACTGAACTAGACGAAGAAATTGACCTTTGTTCCGATGATGTGAGACCAGATGAGAGGAAAGAGAGATTAAAACGTGTTATTTTAGAAATGGAATTAGAATTTATAAAAGAATCTTACAATATTTCAATGTCAACTACGAAATTCTTGACAGAACTAAAATTAAATTGTGCGCTTAAGTCTCAAGAAGATTCAAATGTGGCATCCTCCTCTTCTTTATCCTCATCTTATTCAGCACCCAATGAATATAAACCAAAATTTGATCAGACAATTAATACTCCAATGAAAACTGTACAAAATAGAGATTTCGCAAATAATTTCAGGAATAATATTAATCGTCAAGATATTGATAGTAGTAATATTGTTGAAACTAAAGATAATGATAAAAATCTTGTTATTCCGACTCCAACTTCCACGACTAATGTGTTAAATGGTTCTTCACCAGTTAAAACATTAAATACGAATGCAAATAATGCAAATGGCAAAAAATTTACATTTTTTGGACCTACTAATAATACATCGGATACAACAAATACAACCAGTACAACCAATACAACCAATACATCATCATCATCATCATCACCATCGTCATCATCATCATTATCGTCATCGTCATCATCATCATCATTGGTTGGACGAGGTAAATTTCTTTAAGATATTTTCATTATAAATTAAAACATAAATTGAACATAAAATTTTTCATTTTTTTTTTAATTATAAATATATAGGTAATAATGACAAACCTGGTCAGATACAAAATGTTAAAATCACACCAATTCCCAACATTGATCCCAATAACAATAATACACGTTTACAAGAAAATTTTTTCTGTGAATGGAATTCTTGTAAACGATCATTTAATACAAAACCAAAATTGAGATTTCATTTAATTGATGTGCACTTACGAGAAGGTACACATAAGAGAAGGTGTGATTAAAGTATAGAAATCTTTAATGTCAGAACTAAATAAAAAATTCTTTTATTAGATGATTGAAATTGGAAATTGCTAGTTTTTTTTTTTTTATAGAAATAATGCATCATGATAAATATTAAAAATTTAGCATTATGAAAATCGAATTTTTACTTTTTTTTTCGGAATTTTCTTGCCAACGTAAAAATGTCTTTTTTTTTGCAGCATGTGATGGATAATGAAATTCTAGTTTTATTTTTTTTTTTAATCTTTTATCAATTTGGGACTTTTTTAAATTACATAGAAATAACAATAATAATAAAATAAAAAAAAAGGTTTCATTTACCGTACTGATTATATCATATTTTCAAATGTTAACAATGATAATGATCCTTCTTGCTGTTTCTTGTTAATTGAATAAAGCAGCAACTTATTTATTATTTAAATTTTATAAATAATTAATATCGGATTTTTCTATTCTCTATTTCTTTTCGTATATTCCTATTATATTTTATGAGTATTTATTTTCGATATACATAAAAATGGTTTCACAAAATTTTTTTAATTTTGAAATTGATTTTCATAATTTTGAAACTCTTTCGCGTTAATTTTAGTAATAGACTTTTTAAATTGAAATCATGAATGCTCCAGATCGATATGATTTATTTTACCTCCCCGAAGGAGCAAAAAAGTATGAAAAATTATTCTTATTATATTATTTAAATATTTCTATAATATTAATATCAGTTTTGGTCTCTGATTTGAATCTTTTGAATCATTTCATATAATAAAACTACAACAGAATGACAATCACACCAGATCCCAAAGTTGAAAATGGGGCAACTTTTGACATACTCCGAGAAGATCATACAATGGGTAATTTGATTCGAAGGTAGAGAGAGGTTGCTAGTCCTTTTTTTTCTTTTTTCTTTTTTTTTATTATTATTTGTTTTGAATTAAATTAATTAAATTTTCAAATATCCCAAACGTTGAGATCACAAACTTTGTTTTTGTTTTCAATAAACATTCAATAAAATTTTTGTTGTTTTATTTAGTAAACTTTTGGAAGAATCTCAAGTTACTTTTGCTGGTTATAAAGTTCCCCATCCTTTAGAACATAATGTTGTATTAAAAGTTCAAACAACACTTGATACCAAACCTGAAATGATGGTGGCAAAAGCATTAAATGACTTAATTACTGAAGTTAGTTATCTTAAACAAAAATTCGTGGTACGTTAAAATTATATATTTCTAGATTATTTCAATTTAAATTTTGATTCATATTCAAATTTCATAAAATATTCATATTTCACAAATGTTTCATAAATAATAATAATAATAATAATAGGAAGAACTTGGACGAGCGAGAGCATTGGTTATACCAAGAGAACAAAAACCAATGGAAGAACAAAGTCAAATCGGTATTCAACCTACTACCACCACTTCAATTGCTACTACCAGAGAGAATAATACCCACACAAATCCTCCTCCTGCTGGTAGTAATACAGGTGGAGTTGCCGTGGATATGGATTTCTAAAAAATATTTTTTTCTTTGAAGAAGATTTCTGGAGGAATTTTCTGATGAACGTGATGATGATAGACGATTAAATGGATTAAATGATAACAATAACAATAACAAAAGGACTTTTATTATACAACTACGTTCCATGATGTAATATTGATTTTATTTTCTTCTTTTTGCAGATATTCACAAGTTTCAATTGTTCTACAAGTTTACAATAAATTATTATTATATGTTAATTAAAATATGTCTCATTTCTTTCTTATTCTCAATCAATTCAATTAATTATTTAAAATAAATGACAAATCTTGATTATATAAAAATAAATTGTAGTAGAATTGATAATTATAAATAATGAGAATATTCGCGATAGTGATAACTTCCATGAACAATAAATAAATATTCATTTCAAAGTGAAATACTAATTAGTAACAAGTTAAAAATATTCATACATATAAGTTATATAAATTGAATATTAAATATAGGTAAGAAAAAAATTAAATACTGCATTAAAAATAATCATTATTATTGTATAAACGGAATCTATTTAATCCAATATTGTGGTGGCTGCTGTTGGTAATACATTATTTTTTTTAGAATCAAAGAAAGAGAAGAAATGAAAGAAACTGGAGAAACGGAAGATGAAGTTACTTTAATTTTTTTTTAGATAATTAGATAAATTACATTTTACATTTTCTAATCAATTATATATATTACAGTTGGCGAATATTTAGATTCGTAATTATTGAAATCAATGTTTCAACTTAATTCAATACCAATAACATTTTCTCTAATCAATTATAAATTAATCAATATATATTATATTTACAAAGATTATTGAAATTGTAGCACTACACTAATCATTCAATAAAATTGATGTTTCAATTTAATTTAATTCAATATTATGTTATAATTCTCTAACTAATTATAAACTAATCAATATATATTTCTGTCATAGGGAGTGAGTATTTTGATTCATAATTATTGAAATCAATGTTTCAATTTTATATTCAAAATCAATGTTTCAATTTAATTCAATATCAAATAATAATTCTTTAATTAATTAACAATCAATAAATATTTTTTAGAGTTTTTAAAGAGTGTGGTGAATGTCATCAAGTTAATACTGGTGTCATGCATGTAATGCCAAACAATTTCAAAATGAATTTGATGAATGGACAAGTGGAGATAGATAAATTAATAATTTTATTCAACAAATACAACTAAAGGCAAAAAATGGCAAGAAATTATTAAGTGGATTTCATATGACGGATTTGAGAATGTCACATACCTTGCTAAAGGGGTTTTGGCATAGTATATAAAGCAAAATGGGTTGATGGACCTATCAAGTCTTGGGATTATGAAGGAAAACTGAAATAGGTATGGGGAACAAGATATTTGTTTAAAATTCCACAAATAAAAATGAATTTTACAAGAGGTAAATACTTCATATTATTTAATTTTCAATTTTCATTATATTTACCTTATTTTAAATATATATATTTTATTTATGCTAATAAATATTTTAGATTAAAATTAATTTGATTTTGTGGTAAAAATGTAATTGCAATATATGGCATATGGTAGTCTCCGAAAAATTTATGGTGTAATTCCATTTATGACACCTGAGACATTTATTTGGAGTACACTCAACCATTTACAGAAAAACTAAACATTCACAATAAAAGATACGTTAGTATTTGGTTTATAGAACAACCTTTTTTTGCCTGGTTTCCATGGATCAAATGTTTGAGCAATATGTTTCTTGCTCCGTTATGATCCCTATCGATATTAAAACCACATGAATTGCATTTGTAAATTTTAAATCCACTAAGGTTATGTTTTATATACCCGCATTGCCCACACGTCTTTGACGTATAATCTTCTTCCTGGATATTCGCACTTCTTGTCACGAACATAGTATGTGTAGATAAGAAAGTAGAAAGAACTTCATTTTTAATTCAGGTTTCCCAGGTATGGAACCTTTTAAAGAATGATTGTTATTAGCGTGTACCGTTTCTACAGAACTATTTATTGGAGTAGTAAGGGAATAGATTAGCCAAGTCGCCAGCTTGATATGTTATGCCTAATGGTGTTAATTTTCTATTTTGTCACTTATGACATCTATTTTGTAAACAAAATAATCTTTTTACTTGAATTTTCGTTTGTATGACTAAGTAGCATTTTTCCATATGTAATAAATGGAACACAAATAAACAATGTGATGTGATTTACTAATATTGTAGGCCGTAAAGTAGTGTTTTTCTTTTTTTTTAAAAAAAAAGCAATTAATCAACTTTCTGCAAAAGAATTTATTCATTAATGATTTTTAACAAAAAAATAGTCATATAAAAGTAAACGAATATTGTGCAAGAAATTGTTCGCATAATTAATTACATTTAATTGCAGAAAACAAATAAATATTATGATTAATTTGATTAATTAGAATAGTAAATATAATTAAATATTCAGTTTATATATATTTTTTTTTTTTTATTTTTCGAATTTAACCAAAATTTAATTCCGAAGTTTAACTTCTAATTTCTAATTTTCGTTACAAACAATTTATTATATGCTGCATCTATACTATTTATACTTTAATAAAGAAACTATCTTTCTTCACCAAAAGAAATGTAGGTCTCTATCTGTCAGTGGCTAAAGATTATATGAATGATATATACCCAACTGAAATTTATAAAATGGTTTGTTACTATACAAACTATCCAACAGAAATAATTTTGAAAGAAGATGCATGTGTAGTGTTTTAAAATGATTCTTTATTTGAAAAGGATTATATAATGGATCTGTAGATGTAGTTTTGAAAATTTTTTGATGAAAATATAGTTAAAGTGACCTTCCCATTAAAAAAACCAAAATTTCCATGGCTTTTGTTAAAAAGGTACCAATTCCCCTCCAAAATGCAAATGCATTTAGTATCTCTAGATGAGTTTTTTGCTGATAAGCAAGCACAGAAATTACATCATGTCATACCGAATATCAGAGATAATTTTATAGAAGAATAAACCAATCAAGTTGATTGTAATACAATATGTATGGAAAATATCCAAAAATTTATAAGCATTTTGAGCTTTAAAACAAAAAATATTGTACAAATGCTGTAATTTTTTTTTTTAATAAACAGACCCTGTATGATGATTCGCGGGTAAAGCTTGACCCGAGCGTTAATGCGTAAAAGAAAGGTACTATCTTCTGTATTAAATTATTTGTTTTAAATAATTAAAAAAATTTTAAATATTTTTTACAGGTCATTTTTTTATTTGGGGTCGTACATATAATTTCACCAGCGTTAGCCCTAAGTTTGCTAACAAACATAATCCTTTCGAATGGTCCTTTCCAAAATAAATTCCCTTATTTATGGACATATATCTTTTCTAATATTAAAGGCATTTTATATTATTTTTTTTCAGGATTTGACATGAATACATTTCTCAATAATATAAAAAAGTAATAAGTAGGTTACAACTTTTAGCTCTTTTCCAAGTACTAATAAGCCAATTGCAACTTTGTCGAACATCAAAAGCTTTGGCGAGACAGGAATAGGTGTAGCGTTTTTGATTTTTTGTATTTTTATTATGATATTATAATAAAATTTTTATGAAATATGTTATAACATAATAATATTGTACCAGAATAATTTGCAATTATATTAATATAAAAATCAAAATTAATTATTTTATCTTGATAATATTTACACGGATATAATTATATAATATTTCAATATTATTATTATAAACCATAATATTACTTTTTTTTTTTTATTTAAAATTATTATTAATTAATTATATATACACATATATATTTATGCATATCATATATAAGTACAGTTATAAAAATGATATTAATTAATTATTTCATTTTCCTCGCGTAAAATCTATGCATATAATTATAACATTCATTCTTTTCCCATTCCTCTTTTGCATTATTTAATATTTCATCATATTCATTTTGCGTCATAAAGTCTTGATTGTTGTTTATACTAGAAATATTATTATTATCATTATTGTCATTATTTATATTGTTATTATTATTGTTATTATTATTATTATTATTATTATTTATAGAGTTCAAAATCATAGGACAAATAGTACGATAAAATTCTATTATATTCTCTCGAGAAATTTTACCCACTTTACCAGCTCCTCCATGTTCATAATGTAATAAAGTTTCTAATTTATGATTAAAATCTCCTAATTGTTGGGAGGAAGAAAGCGAAGAAGGAGAAGTAGGAGAAGCAGCAAAAGAACAAGAAGAAGAAGAAGATAATAATAGTTCACCAAGATGAGGTACAATTTCTAAATTTATACCTTTGGAATTATTTGCTTTTATATCTATTAAAAGAATAAATAGTATAAATATATTAATAAATTAAAATTATTAACATTATATAAATTTAAATTTAAATATAAATATACTTACGCGCATCATATAATTTAGTAAAATTTAATGGCATATTTATAATTTTAGTTTCTACTTCACATAATTCAATCCATCCACCAATTTTAGTTACTCTAATCATTTCAGGTAATACTTGATTTCTCCATTGTTGTTCGGTAAAATTAAGTGAAGAATTTTGTATATGTATAAAATCAAATGTATTATTAGGAAATGGTATTCCTCCTCTATTACCATATTCTTCGTCACCACCATCTTCACCGTCACTTTCTTCACCACCAATAAATCTTTCTATTATTTCTTTATTATATGTTGTTGATTCTTCATTAGAGAATTCATTGAGTATATTTGTTTGTATAAAAGTTGCATTAATAGGTTTTATTTCTGATGGATAAATTGGAACCATATCTATTCCATAAAATTTTGATTTTGCATATGTTGTTGCAAGATCTAATATCCATGTACCAGGTCCACAACTATTAAAGTATAAAATATTTTATTAGCTGTTATATTGAGAAAGAATAAGAAAGAATAATAAAGAATAATAAAGAATAAGATGCATAAAAGGAAAGTGAAATTACCAAACATCCAAGACTTTACATCCATTTTCAAGTAATTCTTCTACTGGTGCTGAAAAATTTCCTTGCCAAACGTGACGATATAAAAAATGTTGTAATTGTTGACGATCACATTCTTTATCATCTATCGGTAGACAATATGAGGAATTTGGAATATTAGGATATTTTCTATCATTAATATAAATAAACCATTTATTATTATTGTTGTTGTCATTATATGTGTCATTTCTATTATAATTATAATTATTATTATTATTATTATTATTCTGATCAAATTGTGATGTTGATAAAGAATAATAGTGACGAGAACAATTTGATAAAGTAGAAGAATTTGATTTTTTTAAAGATGATTTAATTCTGGTAGAAATACTTTTTGTTAAAGATATTGATGAATGGGGAGGAGTAAGAAGAGATGGAGAAGTAACTTCTGAAGAACAAAAAGATTTATATAAAGATGAAGATGAAGAATGTCGTTTTGAAATTTTGGCATCAGTAGAAGAAATATTTGGTAGAGAAAGAAATTTTTTTGATAAATATGCGTTATTGCCATTATCATTATCATTATTGTTATCGTTATAGTTGTTATCATTATAGTAATCACTGTCGTCGTCATCGTTATTTTTGTTATCTTTATAATTGTATTGATTCGACAGACAATTATCAGAAGAAGATTTTAAATTTGTGGATGAAGAATTTAATAATATATTAACGTATTCATGATGATGGTTCTTAAGTGAAGATGAAGAAGAACCCATTTTTTAAATAATCAAAATGATAATAATGAAAAATGAAATGATGATAATAATGAAAATGATTATAATGAAATACGATATGAAATAATATATGAATTATATGATTAAATGAAAATAAGAAATGAAGATTCTGTGTATTTTATGTTTTCAATATTTTCAAGGATAAGAAAATGATAAAAATACCACGAAAAAAAAAAATTAATTTATTTTTTTTTGTTGTAAACAACAATAATATTTATAGAATGTTTTTATTTATTTATTTATTTATATTCGAATATTTATGTATTCAGTGTGTATTTAATGTGTATTTAAGAAATTTTATTTATGGTTTAAGGTTTATTTATATTTATTTTTTTTTCATCTTTATTATTCGTTTCCCATTTTCTCTCGTTTTTGTTTAAGATTTATGGTTCATAACTTGTAATGTGTAATGCAGTTAATATCAATATTGATTAATATAAAAATAAATAAAAAAAGTTATAAACTTATGTAACTTTATGCTTAATTACAATTTCGATAAACTATAGGCAAGGGTCCGGTCTTACAAATAAGTAAAGTAAAGTAAAATAAACATATAAAATAGAGTAAAATATACTGTATAATAAATAAAAATAAAAATAAATAATAAATAAAAGTAAATAAATAATAAATAAAATAAATAAAAGTAAAATGAATAATAAAATAAATAAAATAAAATGTGAAACTCTGGAACGTTTATTTTCAAGATTAGATAATAAAATCTGGAACATAGTGTTCGTTTCCGAAATTTGGTAATTTGGGAAATTTAAAAAACTTTTAAGGATAGTTTAGTAATAAATTAGTTAGAAAAAAAAAATACTTACGAAAATTAAATACACTGTTAAAATATATCCAGTCAAAATATATTGTTAAACATATTCAGTTAAAATATATTGTAATACGTAATTTTTAAGCTTTAAAAAATTAATAAAATCAAAGTAACAGGTATTTTATTAAAATTAACGTGAGGTTATTATTATTAAAATTAGTATTACGAATAAAAAGGAATATAAGGAATAATAATAAGGGTGTAGATATATTTATATAAGATATTTTATTTTTCTCTCTAATGGTATTAAAAATGGATTCTCTTAATAAACAAAATAAATAAAAATTTACCAATCTTTGCATATGTATACATTACATTTAATAAAGTTGCATTTTTTTTAAAAAAAAAAATAAAATAAAACGAAAGATCATTACAAATATTCATAATATCACAAAATAATGAAAAAAGAAATTCTAAAACCGACTAGTTTTGTGTGTGTGTTGAACTGTTGTAAGTGTTAAAAAAAAAGATTGAATAAAAAATCGGATGTTTTTTTATATATCCCAGATATATTGTATTCACTAAAGTACGATGTGAAACCAAATTTATCCAATACAATTATTAGAATATTACCAAATATATTCTTTTAAATGAATAACTGTTTTGTTGTTGTATAACGTATAAGTAACAAAATAGGGAAGATTGATAATGCAATATCGCAAAAATTTAATCATGTCGTGAAACGATCTTATTCACGAATCATATAATAAATATTACGTACATGTTTTTGAATACGTTATAGTATAAGTTGGCGAACCTTTTCTTTTAGTAAATTAAATAAACCAAGCAATAGTAAATACAGAATTCTCGTCCCGCCTTACTTCACATATTACACAATTATTAATAATTCTCATTACTGTGTATTATGAATATTATGCATCTTCGCCGCCATCAATTTTCTGTTCATCCCCACTTCTAGTTAATTCCGGTCCATTCCGCATAACAAGGACCATACTTAATCATATTGAAATACTTCTATTTTTATGAATATTATGCATCAATTTTCTGTCTATCCCTATTTCCAGTTAATTCGGTTCATTCCGCATTAAGGCCACAACAAGGACCATACTTAATTATATTGAAATTCTTCTATTTATTTAAAGTTTGATGTTAATATTAATTTCTTTTATTCGGAGATTTATGTTGATTACCTTTAAGTAAAAGAAGCTTAATTACATCAATAGTTAAAGTTTGAATTGTTTTTTTTTAATTACATGCATCATCATAATTTTATTTCAATACAGGATAAACATTTTATTCATTATATGTTGTAGAGAATATTTTTACAATTATTACAATTTGCAATACAAAACACATAAAATTTTAAAATAATTTAAAAGTTTTATATCAATACATAAAGCAAATTGGTGAAACCGCCTCAATTTTATTGGTATCTTTAATTGATTTTTTTTTTTTTTTACTTTATTTACTTTTTAACTTTTATTTACATTGTTATTTTTTTTTTAATTTTTTTTTTATTTTTTATTTTATTTTTTTTATTTTTATTTTTATTTTTATTTTTTATTTTTTTTTTGATTTTGATTTTGATTTTATTCCAAAAAAGAGTAATCAGTAACAACAGTAGCAAATATATATATTTATAAACAAATTGTAGATCTTTGAAATCTGAAAAAAAATTTTAAAGTTTTTTTTATTTTATTTTATTTTTTGAAGTGCAGTTGTACCAGGAATTTGGAATTGGGATTGCGATGTTTTTCGTGATGCGATGATCACAAAAGTTATGTAGTATAACATTTATTGCATTTATTTAACGGTATTCATTGGTAATCAAGTTTTCAACAACTACTGTGATGATTCTAAATAAAATATAATAAATATAATAAATAGAAATTTAAATATTAACATAAATTATATCTGTTTGTTATTTCTTTTGGAACTTTAAATTAATACAGGATTGGCTACAACTATATATTGATATAACATAATTAATGATACTGTTTGTGTTTTTAAAGTTTAATTATGTAAAGTTATAAATTTACACATCACATGACTTTAATGCAAATTAATAAAGTAAATCATTACATAAATCATGTGCGCAAATGATTTAATTACTGGTACAGCAACTATTTGCATATAGAAAATCGGGGTTAAAGTTATTTAATAAAACTATAATATAGTCTGCATCTGTTGCGTGCAAAAGTATTATAAAAATATATATAGTTTTAAAAAATTTTAAAGAATTGATTTTTCAGCTTATAAGAAAGTATATTTTATTTTTGAAAAATTTACCAGGCTTTTTACAAAAAAAAATGCTCAAATAGTTTACTTAACGGATACTAAATTTGACCTATGATTATATATTGTGACAATTTATACTCACTATACACGCACCTCAGATTCCAAGCTATATATAAATTTACCCGAATTTTTATTATAAAATGATCGACAAATGGTGATCCGCAATTACGAAAGAAGAATAATTTGATATAAGAAAATCATATCGTGATAATTTGCTTTATTGCTTTAGATTAGATTAATTGTTAGTCATTAAAATTTTGTAACAATGGATTCTATTTGTTATCACATCTATTGGAATGTCAAAACAGAAATTATGAATTATCTTCTAAAAAAATCAAATAGAGATTTCCTCACTTTTTTTTTTGAAATTGGTGTCTTGGTGTATTATAACAATAATGATGATAATGCATCAATCTGGATCTGTATTCACGTTACCATTCAATTCTTCATTCACTTATCCGCTTCATAATCATCCACTTCTTCTTCATTATCCATTTCTTCATCACTTTTTCATCATCACTATCCATCAACGCTGTCTGCTTCTTCATTATTGCCTAATTCTGCATCATTACCTTCAAAATCCAAATGATTCCTATGAAAATAAATAAATAAATAAATATAATTAAGATAATTTAATTGATATAATGAAAGAATAGTGGAAAATGAAGGAAAAGATAATAATAAATGTCCTAAACCTTGATTATGTATAGAAAAAGTCGATTTTAATTAACATATATAATAAGTCACGATTTTCAGTCACGTTATTTATGTTTTTAACAATCATATCAAATCTAAATTCGTAAAACAATGAAATAACTTTTTTGGGACCTTTCTTTCGGATCATGTGTTTTTACATTATGACAGAAGATTTATAAAAGAAATAATATTCTTTTTTTTTTTCCAATGAGATCTTGCCTCTTGTAAAAGAAATAATATTTCAGTTTTTTTTAAAAAGAAAAGAAAGAAAATGAGTTTTTTACAGTGATCTTTGAACGTGTAATAGATCATTGTTATGATAATTATAAACAAACAAATTAATTATCATGGATATCTTTGTCACTTTTCAACCAATATTGGTTATATGAAATCAAACATTCTCTTCAAATCTCTATAAATACAAACCAAAATTCTAACCTCTTTTAGAGCATAAATTTAATTCTATACCTTCTGAAATTTTTTTTTAAAAAAAATGTGGCCCATCAATTCAAATAATGGAACTTGATTGAACTTGGTAAATGGAAATCTTATAATTTATCATTTTTAGAAACCATATTTCTGAGGCAAATATTGTTGCAACCTCGGATCTATTGGAATTTCCGTCTTAGCAACCATTATCAAAACTCAGAAAACTATATAATCAATTTAAATTTAACAATAAATATTGTATCAATATTCATGTTGCCATTGTTCTCGACCAATGAGACTAAAATGTTCTAGCATTCCAAATGGAATGTTTTCAACTCTTCATTAACTTATCCATTAACTGAAGCATTTCTTGATATATCCCTTTGTTATCCAAAAAGTTCCATACAAAGAATTGTTATCATCCACTCGCTGAATACCCAGAAATTTGATCCAAACCAAAACTATACCATTGTCAATCAATACATCCAAACTGTTCATTAGGTCATACATCAGGACCAAACCAATATATAACCTCTCAACATTTAGTATAATCCTTGAGATATTCCAAAAAAAAACCTTCATGCATTATGCATTTGCATTATAGGTGCTCTTTTAAATAGAAACAATATTCAATCCTGGTATCATCCAGCATTGATTCCAGCTGCAGATTGGTTACATTAAAATAACAATTTATTTAACATTACAATCATTAGGGATGTTATCGACTCGGTTTGGTTCGGTTCAAAAGTCGCCGGTTGGACCCTTGAGTCGAACCGAACCATGGTTTAACTTCGGTTCAACCATTGGTTCAACCACCAATTCAGCCATCGGTTCAACTATCATTAATTAAATTAGTATTGTATTATTAGAAAAATTTTATATCACGGAATATTTTTATTTATTTTTTTTGACTTCGGTCGCGATTTATGAGACGGGAGCAATTTCTACTAAAGTATTTATGTGGCGGATCGGAAGCCCTTGTTCTTAGCTACAATATCATATGTGTTTCATTCCTGTAGCATCATTATTTGCGTAGATATTCACGTTTAAATTCGAACGTCCGTGAAAATTTTTTGTTATAAATTTTTCATAATTCTGGCGGAAATGTTTTATTACGTCACAAACCTTTCCGCCAGAATTACGAAAATTCCAGAAAATTTATGGCAGAATTTTTCACGGACGTTCGAATTTAACCGTGAATATTGATGCTACAGGAATGAAACACATATGATATTGTAGCTAAGAACAAAGGACTTTTGATCTGTCATTAAGAATTTCGATAAAAAATTTGGTATAACGTATTACGAATAGTTTTAAAAATTCGTTTTTCGAAGGCTTATATCAATAATATATTATTATTATTAGAATAATAATAATAATAAAATTAATAATATTATTATTACTAATAAATTAATAACAGTATTAATTAAAATTAATAATAATAATAAAACCGATGTTGAACCATTAGTTTAATCATATAAATAAATGGTTGAACCATCGGTTTAACCGTATAAACATAGATGGCCTTTTGGATTATTGGACTTTTGGACAATTGGACTATTGGACTATTGGACTTATTCCATTTAAAGTCCAAAATTTTATTGGAATATTGAACTAATACATTTTCCAACACAATATTTTTATAGGACTATAATCAATTTATTATATATATCAGTATACTGCATTATATATTAGATTACATTAATTGTGGTACTATTAATAAAATTTTCCAAATAACTAGGTGCACTCAAATTTTCAATAAAAATGTCTTGAAGTTTCCACTTAGCATTTTTATCTGTAGCAGGATGTGGTAAATTAGAAATATTTGCTAAAGTAATGTCACCATTATCAATAAAATTTTCAATACTACTTTCATCTTCACTTTCTGAATTTTCCAAATCTAATTCATTTTCTACTATATCAATCCAATTTGTAACCATATCTTTTCAGATAACTAATTGTAAATAATGATCAGATAGATGACTAGATAATAAAGTTTGATTGGTTAGATTTCATGAACTTAGTTTAACTGTATAAAATGAACCGCGGTCGAATCAGTTTTAGATCTTGGAACTGAACCAGACCAGTTCAGTTGTAAACCAGTTTGGAACCAGTTCGTTTATAACCGTTAACATCCCTATTTATAATATAGGATGCAATAGGATGGTCAATTTTTACTTATTTTTGGCTGATCTATAATATAGGAATTACCATTCAATACAGCAATTCTTTTGTATTTGACTAGTGTGAAAGTTTTCCAATTATATAACTAACAGCAAGATTGCTTTCTACTAGTCAAATACAAAAGAATCACTGTACCAAATGGTAATTCATATATTATAGATCAGCTAAAAATCAGTAAAATTGTATCCTATATTATAAATCAGCTTTTGTATTTGACCTGTGTTCAGTTCCTGAAAATGGTTTGTTATTATACAAATTATTCAACAGAAATAGTTTTGAAAGAGGGTGCATGAGTAATATTTTTAAATAATTCTTTATTTGAAAAATGATTCATAATGGATCTGTTCTAAAGGTTGTTAATAAAAATATAGCCTTTCCATTAAAAACTGGAATTACCATAGTTTTTGTGGAAAAAAGATACCAGTTATTAGTTTCCCATATTATAGTATCTCTAGGTGAATCAATTTTTTGCTGATGGGTAAGCATCTGTGGCATTAAGTAAAGTTCCATCTCAAGAAAGTATAAAAATTATATCATTTAATAGTATGTCAATAAAAGAAGATATTAAAGCTATTGCTGAATACCAGAGATTAGAAGAAAAATATAATAATGATATACAGTAACAGAATTTTATAAGAGAATAAATCAAACAATATTTTATTGTAATATAATTTACCATGGTATACTTTCTACAGTATTACTATAAAACTTTTTTTAATTAAAACAAATATTATGAGTACAGAACTTTCCAACTTAAATCTCTTGTTAATAAAATAAAATTAATTAAATAAAATAAATTTATAAATGAAATTAAATATAAATGCTTACTATTTATTATTTCAAATACACTACTAATTGAAAATTCAGTAACAAAAAAATTGCATGATTAATATATAAATAAGGTTCCCTTTCATTTTTTTTTTATTTCAGAACTTAATTAATTAATGGATTATTAAAATTTACTATGATATTTAATAACAGTTAATAATTGTAATCATTATTTACTACAAAAATTATAAAATTTATAACTTTTAATCATTTATTTTGGCACAGGTCAAAAATAAAAGAATAGGTGGTGCAAAAAGGAATTCTGATTTTAGCTGATTTATAATATAGGATGCAATATGATAGTTAATTTTAACTGGTCTATAATATAGGAATTTTGTTTTTTAGTTGATCTATAATATTGGAATCACCATTCCACTAGTCAAATACAAAAGAATCACTGTACCAAATGGCAATTTCTATATTATAGATCATCTAAAAATCAGAATTTCTATATTATAGATCAACTAAAAATCAACTGTCCTATTGCATCCTATATTATAATCAGCTAAAATCAGAATTCCTTTTCAGTATGCTTATTATTTTGTGTTTGGCCCGTGTTCAGTACAATGAATTTTTATATTTGACTAATGAGAATATTTATAAGGTAAAAGTTTTCAGAACCTATATAAATTTGTAATTTACAAGAAGCAATTTTCTACTAAAGTATTTTTATAATAAATAGAAGCACCTCATTCAAAACTACAAAATTATACATGTTTTGTCCATATGACATTAATATTCTCTGAAATATTCTGGTTTAAAGAAAAACATCTGTATAAAAAGTTTTCACAAAAATTTTAATATCATAAAAATTTCTGTAAATTTTCACAAAATTTTTATATAGACATTGTTAGAATTTTTTTAATTATTTTATTATTAATTTTTATAATTCTTTCTTGTCATATTTTGTTTTGTTTATTATTACTTAGTAATTATTGTATTAATTTTAAAATTGATCTATATATGTTTAGTTATTTTATTTTTATAATAGGTAATTAAAGAATAGTCTTAGAATTATACTTGCATGCAAAATAGGCTATCATAGTAAGTCAAAATATTTTGAAACCCAAAAGTCAAAATAGTTTTTTATAGAAAACAAATTAATTTTATTTAAAACAAAAATTTTTTGTCCACTGTTATCTCTACTTTTATCACTTATTTTTATATTTCATTATTATATATTTTATATCGTATATTTATTATTTATTATCTATTTCTTATTATTATTATTATATATAGTATTACAGTAGATCAATTTATACAAATTAGATATTATTACTTAAATTAGTAGATTTCTAAATTCTTGTTAATCTGTAACACTAGAGTACAAATTAGA